TTAGGATGGCACGGCACAGCTTAGGGTGGCACGGCACAGCTTAGGATGGCACGGCACAGCTTAGGGTGGCACGGCACAGCTTAGGATGGCACGGCACAGCTTAGGGTGGCACAGCACAGTTTAGGATGGCACGGCACAGCTTAGGGTGGCACAGCACAGTTTAGGATGGCACGGCACAGCTTAGGGTGGCACGGCACAGTTTAGGGTGGCACGGCACAGTTTAGGGTGGCACGGCACAGTTTAGGATGGCACGGCACAGTTTAGGGTGGCACGGCACAGTTTAGGGTGGCACGGCACAGTTTAGGGTGGCACGGCACAAGCCAAACTGGGGCAGCGCTGGGGTTGCTGGGGGGACAGCAGTGCCACCCAGACGTGAAGGACCCATCACAGGTCACACCACAGGCTTTCTCACTGGGCACGTGTTGCACTCACCAGCACTTGAATAATTTTAGCAGCAATCACAGCATTTTCTGTTCTTGGGGCTGTGACCAACCCCTCACTGAGCATTTCCCACCGTCAGGGATGAGCCCAGGGCACCTGCAGCAGAGCCAAGGGACAGATCTTAGCCCGGGTCCTGCAATCCCCTTACATACCTACAACACTTCTCTCAGGAGTTTTTCTGCTTTCTCAGAGTACAGGGTCTGAACATTTTGCCAGTGCAGACTGCACACAGCTAATTAAGGTTCCTGACAATTAATTTCCTATTTCTAGTTACCTTTTCCAGACGTCTTTGAATTACATTCACAAACCCCTGGGCCTGAAACCCACTGTCCCACTGAGCTCTTTCCATGAGGAGCTGAGGCACACAGATAAATCTTGGAGCTCCACCTCATCACATCCAACCTGGAGCAACGTTCAGTGTGCGGCAGCTGTGGGGGTCCTGGTGGGGTGGGGAGCTGCTCTGCCAGCTCCTGGGGCTCCCACTGGGAGCTGGCAAGAGAATGGGGGCTCCAGGAGAGCCCTGTAAAGGAACAGGGATGAGGGGGTTCATGGGAGACAGGGATGTGGGCCAGGTTGGGTGAAAACCTTTGGCCTGGAGAAAAGCAAAGTGGCATCTTTAGGAAGGATGGGCAAGGATGCTCCACTGCAGTGCCAGGCAGCTGTGGTCACACAGCACAACCTGAACCCACCTTCCTTCCCCTAAAATTGGAGGAATTAATGTTCAGTGCAGTGGGCTGATGCCCTCGCTGTGCTGCTAAAATCAGGGCTTACCTGGAACCAGTTCCCTGTTGAGAGCCTGGGAACCCATCCCACTGACAGCTGCAGGGGCCACTGGCATGTCTGTGACTCTGGGTTTGAGGGTCTCCTGTTCTCCTTCAGCCCCTCTGGCTGAAGGAGGTCCACGTGCCAAGGCCTGGCTGCACTGGGAGTGCTTGTGGTGGAGCTGGTGGGAAGGAACCAGCTTTCCCAGGGCTGGGGCTGTGGCACTGACCCCTTTCTGCCCTCCCTGGTTTGGGATTCAGTCCCTCCTGCTTGCCCAGAGAAGGAGAGGGCAAAGAGGAGAGAGACAGACACCTCTAATTAATCATATTAACTCCTGACAGATGCTTTATGTTCCAACAATGTTGCTATTATTAAATCCATGTGGCTGCCCCTCACCAAGCCTCCCTGCTGCAGGTTCTGGGAAAAAAGGCTTTGCTGGATTTCCCCAGCAAGTACCAGCCTTGCCCTGGCACAGCCCCACGCCAAGCCCCACTTCTCCAACCACTATCCATCACACCAATGGTCAGACCTGTCAGTTTCCCTCCTTGTGAGGGTATTTTTCTTCTCCCCCCCCCCCATCCCTCCTCCCCAGGCTGACCACAAGGTTGATTCAATCCGGCCGGGGGATGTGAGCGGAGCGGCGCTGCCTTTCAAAGGAGCCATTCAAGTCAGGAGGAAACAGGAAAAAAAAAACCCTTTCCTCAAAGTCACTCGAGTTGGTCGCCAACAACAACAACGAGGCCTGAACAAAAATCACAGAAAACACAGGGGGACAAGTGGGTAAGAGCAGCGGGCACGGGCAGTGCTCCTGGCTGGGGGATGCTGGAGCAGAGGGAGGGCAGGAGGAGGTGATGTCTGGGTGTCTCCAGGGCTGTGTCCCTCCCTTCCCCCAGAGCTCAGGTTGCTTCAAAGCCCTAATCCTGTTCTGGAACATTTCTGGGCTCATCTGGGTTAAAACTTCCTGAAAAGTCAGGCTGGGTAGTGATGGGCCCTGCTCAGTGCTGATGCCTCTGGTTTTATTCTTCATTCTAAATTTCTGTTCGTCCTGTTTTCATTAAGGGGAACAGTGACCAGAGGGAGGGAAAATAAAACTTCTCTCTTTCATGCTCAGTTCTGCTCCATGACCAGTCTCCCTCTGCTTGGAGCTTGCCCACCACAAGGGATATTCAAATAAAATAAGCGAGACCACTTGCCAAATAAAAATAACAGAGGCACCGAATGAAAAGCAAAATATTTTCAATAAAAGTAAAGCCAAAGAAGACAAAAACCCTCCGCGGGCGCTTTCAGAAATGACTGATGATATTTTTGCTCCCCAGGCAGGCCTTGCCCCACTGGGGCTGCTATTAAAGGGGGTTTGTTTTCCCAGGAACGTGCCCCAGAGCAGAGCCTGAGCAGCACCGATGGACTCTGACGTGTTCCCACCTGTGAAACGTGGCTGTGGAGCAGGGAATTCTGGTTTGCTTTCACATCTTTCAGCACTTGGGCTGATTTCCAGGCAGGGCTTTTGGGGGGCACAGCCTGGGGTGTCTCTTGCCCCCCTCAACCCCTTTCCAGCCTCATCCCACCAGTCCCGGAGGGTGCAGAAAGGCCCTTTGCAGAGGAAGGCACACAGCAAGCTCCAGGTATTGTTACAGAGGGAGGAAAAAGGCAGCTGGGAAAGGAGTGACGTGCAGGGACCGCGGGAACCTCCGGCCCTGCCCAGCGGCTGCGCCGGACATGGGCCCTTCCTGAGGGACAGTCCTGACTTCTAGGAAATTGCCTTCTGAGGTACACAAACCATGGCATTAAACACAGAAATATGAACTGCATCGGGAGGCAGGGCTTTTCCTGGGGGGGGTCAGGTGGATTTCTTTAGCTTCCCATGCCAGGGACAGGGCAGATGTACCTGTGGACACGTGTGCTCCGGCCCTCGGTGCTTCCAGTCTCTATTTTTGCTCTGCTCTCCAGCAGGAAAGTCCCCCCCAGTGTCACAGCATGTTCCTGTGCTGCTGATACTCAGGAGGTTGCTCTTAGTGTGGTGGATTTTCTGTACCTTGGCACAAACAGATGCCAGCTCTGGCCACGGGCATCCCAAGTCCCAGGGGATCCAGAGGTGTGGAGTGGGCAGGGAGCAACATCCAGGTTGGAGAAGGAGAGAGGAGGCTGTGACCTGCATGGAAAACTGTGCTGGGATAAGACAAGACATTAATTTAAATCTCTGTAGCTCCTCCAGCATTCTTGCTCTGGAATAACTGCCTTTCCCAGCTTGTTGCTGCTGGACACGGTTTAAGGGAAACTGGGAAAATGCTGCTCATCTGCACCAGCAGATCCACTGGGAGCTGGGAGGGTGGCAGGACAGGGATGGGCACCAACTCCCTCCTCAGCCTGGTCACTGTGAAGGTTTGCTGAGATCCACCAGGGCAGAGGGGAGACCTGGCTCTGACAAGTCCCAGATGGGTCCCACCAAGGTCCCATCAAGTGTCCCAGCCCAGGAGAGCGGGTGGGGGGACCCAGGGATGGCTCTGGACACCTGCGGGACAGGGAGCCGAGACACTTGTCAAAGCTGAGCAGCTCCTGGGGCCGGGCTGTGCACCTGCTGCTTGCTGGGTCCATCATGTCCCCTTGGCCACCTGGGACGAGGTGGTGGCACTTGCAGCCCCTCCAGCTGCCTCCGAGGAGCCCGAGGTGCAGAGTCAGCAGTTTCCCTGCCCAGATCCCATCCCTCCATCCCACCTCTCCCACACGAGCCGAGGCCTCTCTTTTAGCTGCAGAACAAGTGCATAAAAATGATCTTATTTATTACAGGAGACATGTTTTAAAACAACTGACAAAATTGCAAGATGTAAAACGACAAGCAAGTGCTTTTTCTTTTTTAAACCCGCATAGACTTCTGGCAATGATAAAACCAGTGTTTTCTTTTTTAAAGTTGGAATTAATCTTTCTTTCCAAAGCAATCACGTCGCAGGGGAAGCAGGAAGACACTCAGATATGAACTGATCCTCACTGGGTGATGGTTACTTATGGCACAGCCAGGCAGCTCACTTGCCTCTGCAGAGCAATTAACGTTAAAGAACAGAGTGAACATTAAAGCCAAACAACAAAAAAAAAGATAAAGAAAAAGGAAAAAAAAGAGGTGAGGGTTTTTTTTTTTTCCCCTTGTTGTTGTTCCTCCCCTGTTCCCTTGATGTGTGACTAACAGCTGTTTTTTCTGTGTGACAAAGCAGTGGGGTCTTCCTGCTGTTGATGTAATGAAGCTGTTTCCTGGTGTGAAATTCTCCAGGATGAATTGCAGGAGGGGGAGGAGAAGATCCCGCACGTATCAAAGCGCTTGGGAGGGGAGAGAAGCTCCGGGGCTCGGGGGGGCAGAGGGGGGAACGGGCAGTGATGAAACCAGGCAGGGGGCTGGGGCTGGGGCCGGGTCACAGCCCCCTCCCTTACAGCCCTTATTGTGATTTTTGTCCTGTTTGTCTCCAAGTTTGCTGCTGCAATCGGGGTGAGGGTCTTCACTCCTCTGGGTTGGCAGTAGGGAGGGTTGGGGGGTGTTTTCCCCAGGGACCCCAGCAGTGCTGCGGGGAGCAGTTTAGCTTGTGTGCCTCAGTTTCCCCATCTGCAAAACCTGTGGGGCAAAGGGGTGACAGTGACCCCTGATGTCCCTCACCATGGGAGCAGTGGCAGGGCCCTGGGGTGGCCTTTGGGAGGGGGAGAATCTGTCTCATGGGGCTCATTTAATCCTCAGACACCCAGTAACAACAAAAATCAAACCTTTACCTCATCGGTTGCCTTTTTTCTTCGCCAGTATTAGTTAATTAAACTATGCAAATTCAAACAACTTCATTTCTCTAACATCAAGACCAGAGCCTCAAACCATTTGGTGCAGCTCGTCTGGCACGTATGGTGCATGAAATGTTTGGAGTGGCTCTAATAAAAATGAAAAAGGCTGTAAATCAAGTTTAATTTATTCATTTTCTGTATGGTATGAAAGCCTGCCAAAATCAGATTATTTATGAGCCCTTCATAACAATAGGCATTTTTATTGGTTGCAAATGACAAAAGGGGTTCTCAGAGGGATTTTTTTTTCTCTTTTTCTTCTTCTTTTAAATTTTTTGAATGCCTTTTCAGAAACATTTCTTTTTTTTATGGACTCTATGATCTCAAAGAAAAATATTTAATCATTGATACAGTAAAAATAATTTATATTTAGAAGCTGAAAAACACATCAGGCTTTACAACATAAATACACAGAACTAATCCAGCCCAAAGGCTCAGGCAAAGGCTGCACCACAGGCTCAAGAAAAGAGCTGTGATTTATACCCCCCTTCCCTAAATTTCCCTTTAAGAGCATAATCTCCCATAAGTCTTTCACAAAATGTCTGAGCCACTCAGGGCTTTTGCTTTTCCTTTTCCAGGGCCCCTGGGCAGGCCGAGGGGCACCCACACGTGCCCACTCACTTGCCCTGCACGACGTTCTCTTTGCCCACCCCCAGATTCACCCAACCTCTTTTTTGGGGGGGAGAGGTGGGTGGGTAACTGACCCCATGAGCTCTCACACATGCTGCCCTGACACAGCAAAGAGATAAACAGACCCTGGTTCCTGCCTCCCCTGCTTCTCACCCTCCTTTTTGTCCCTTTTCGCCTCCTTTTGCCTCTTTCCACACCCAGGAGGGGACACACCCACACACACCCACACCCACACCCACAGACAGACACCAACACACACACTCACACACATACACACACACACAGACACCAACACACACAATCACACACACACTCACACACCCACCCCCCCACACACACACACACTCACCCC